CATCATCGCCAAGAATCCATTTGTTGGTAAATGTTTAAAAACGAAAACAATGTCATAAAGAAATATGTGACTAAGAATGAATAAAAATCTCATAGAATTTGACTAAATGGGAAAAGGAGTCAGGATCATCTCATTTTAGCTGATTCATGATCCATATCTGCTAACCTACATTTAAACCAAGGATGATGCTAAAGTTTCGGCCTCTCGAGAAGGCCTGATGAGGTTATTACACCGATGTGCAGCACTGAAGCAGCAGAACAAGTTTGTTCGTATGATGATGGATGAGAAATTGTTTTTGTCTGATTCGCATCAAGCAAAACCTTCATGAAATCAGCCGTGCGATGCTAAAAATGAAAACAAGCAACTGGTACTATGTAAGATTGACATCTTTTCCAGCATCTGTCCCCACATCAGCTCTCGTGCAGACGGTGCATTAAAGTGAGAAAGACTCACGTTAGAGATCATGTAACATGTCATTTTAAAACACATGATTTCCTCTTTGACATCACTTTTCTTTGGTCTCCTTTGATTTCTCTAAATACGATACTTAGGGTAAAATGGAGCAGCGGGTCAAATTTGTACTGAGGTCAAAATTACGTCCAGCTAGAGGGATTGACTGGTAGAAAACTCTCTGCAGTGAGTATCGTTTGAGCTGTGTTATCAGATGGAGGGCATTCATCTCCACCGGGTGGAACGGGACACATTTCGATGGAGGCACGCTAACTCTTTATCCGTCTGTGATGGTGAGATATGACTCCAGGCTCATGCTGCTGCAGGTCGGAGTGTTATCCCGCCACAACAGAGCGGCTGTGAACAGCCTTTCAGTGTGTGTGTGTGTGTGTGTGTGTGTGTGTGTGTGTGTGTGTGTGTGTGTGTGTGTGTGTGTGTGTGTGTGTGTGATTGTTGTTGTAGGTGTGTGAGAGGTGATGGTTACTCGGAATATGAATCTGAAAGAGTTGGGTTTGCATGCTGGCACACTTGGTTAACCACAGAGAAGTTTGCTGGTTCAAATCCTGTCTTGGGCTTTCTCTACATGTATGTGTGGGTGTTTCTCTGCACAAGGGAGACGGGATAGTTGAAACACTTCCAATTTCTCCAGTCAGGGCTAACTTTCGAATCATGTGATTCATTCTGCTCATTCCCGATTCAAATCCGCAGCTTTCTCAAAGGCAATTAGCACCTTGTGGCAAACACAATTTGAGAAGAATTGAACACAACAAAACTTTTTATTTGTTTCATTTTATAGCAATATCTGCTTTTTAGTTAAACCCAGCAAACCTAAAGGTGTGGAATGATAAAACAAATTTTAATGATAATTTCTGACTACAATAAGTTACTCTGAGTATTTCATGCAGGCTGAACATGAAAACAGTCTCCTACACCTATCTCCTGCTTCAGCTTCTGATAGAAAACAGACAGCGAAACTCTAGGATTAGAAAATCCTGACATATCTACGTCACACCGTCACTTAACATTCATGGACTCACCCATCTTGATTCGCAGTGAGGAAGGCTGTTGTTGATTTAGCGTCCAGGAAACAGCAGAGAATGTCTCAGCTAGTAGAAGCTAACCATTAGCATTAGCAACACCACCACACAGCAGAACTCCTCCAACCTTGTATTATTTTTGGAGATAAAACATCAATGTTGTGAAGCAAGCAGAGCCAGTGATGGAAGTGTGTTGCTGTTAGCCAATCAGACATGAGATGACCAATATCAGGAAATAAGAGCCTGAAAAAAGGCACATCTGAGCTTTTATTCCCCAGCATACGACTTGCAAGCTGTTTATTCCTACTAGAGACAACTGCAAATGTATTCATTAAACAAGTCACCATCTTTTGTACGTTCTGTGTAATCTTTCTGCTGTTTTAATTGTTTTCTAAGCACAGCAAAGTAAATTTGTTTTACCTGCAGCCTTGCTGAAACTTGTCAGCAAAATAGGTTCAAACAAACAAACAAACAAACAAACAAATCTTCCACTTCGCTGTGTTTAGAAAATAATTAAAACAATGAGTGTGTATGCCTATGGCGATATTTTCTATGCATGTCTTTAGCTTTATGCTGTAATGTTAGCTAGTTTGTGGCTGCAGGAGTTTGGGTCGATTATAACAACCCTGCAAAGGGAACATCTTTATGCCGTCTTTGAAGGTAGTCTGACTGAGGGTGCTGCTCACTGTATTTTGGCATCAAATTATGTTAGAAATCAGGGATAATCCAACTGATTTGTAACTTTTGCAATGCCATTCTGCATAGATTTAATAGAGAGTGGAAGAAGCTGGAAGAGCAGGGGATACCAAAGCAGAAAGAAAGTCTTCACTGATGAACAGGAGAGAGACATGATGAGGGCTTCAGATGCATTCACATGAAGTAAGCAGTTATGTGGTAAAGGATAGGCAGGGGCAGTTAAACGTGTATAATGGTGGTAAAATATAACATAGTACATGAAATTACGAACACATTTTGAGATTAACATTGTAGGTTAAAGAACTTGCATGTCAGCCTAGTGAAAATTGAATACAAGTACCCAAAGTTATGGAAGGAGTCCTTGTAGGATGGACCAGACTGCTTCGAATATAACTGCACAATTACCTTCAGGTGTTGAATAAAAAGGTTTAAATGTTCAGCTGCTTTATTTTATTACAACTAACCCAGACTGTGGGGTTAACATTTCACTTTTTGTGTTTGAGACCAAACCTTGCAATTAGTATTTGTGCTGCAGAGTAAATAGCTGTACTAATTAATAGCAGAAACATGTTAAAAGACACTGCCTGGCCAAAAAACTAATTCTCCACCCGAAAGCAAACAGGTAGGAGCCTCCTGTTGGAAAATTACTGCATGAGTGATAATCTTTCAGCTAGTAACAAGTTATTTAACCCCAACTGGTGCAATGAGTTGCTTCTCATTTCTTAAACTACCATGTGGAAAGACACTTTTGGTGGTCGTGGAGAAGATGTTAGTCTGTTTAAGAAGGGTCAGATCATTGGCATGCATCAAGCAGAGAAAACATCTAAGGAGATTTTAGAAACGACTAAAACTGGTTTAAGAACTGTCCAACACATTATTAAAAACTGGTCTGATGCGTCCAGGTGGACCCTGTTCCACAGTGATGGTGCATCAGGGTAAGAAGAGAGGCATGCCTAGTGCCTACTGTACAAGCCTGTGGGGGCAGTATTATGATCTGGGGTTGCTGCAGTTGGTCCGACCTAGGTTCAGCAACAGGATGTGCTCCAAGAATGAGGTCAGCCGACTTCCTAAATATACTGAAAGACCAGGTTATTCCATCTTCCCTGATGGCACTGGTACATGACAATTCCAGGATCCATCGGGCTCAGATAGTAAAATAGTGTTTCAGGGAGCCTGAGACGTAATTTTCACACATGGATTGGCCACCACAGAGTCCAGACCTTAACCCTATTGAGAATCTTTGGGATGTGCTGGAGAAGGCTTTGTGCAGCGGTCAGACTCTACCATCATCAATGCAGATCTTGGTGAAACATTAATGCAACGCTGGATGGAAATAAATCTTGTGACATTAAAGAAGCTTATCGAAACAACGCCACAGCAAATGTGTGTCACAGGCGGTCCAATGAAGTATTAGAGTGTGACCTTTTATTTTGGTGGCGACTTTTTTTTTTGGCTGGGCCGTGTGCATTGCATTTTGAATCCACAATCTTAACCCTCTCAGGCAATAAGTTTTGATAAAAGGACGAACAACTAAATCCTTCAGGGGCACCAGTTAAAAAATGCTCATGAAATACATATATGGAGTAACCAGGTAGGTTTTAAAGTTGCAAATTTGCAACGCCAGAGTGTTAAAAAGAGCCCCCAGCTAGATGAAGCAATGTTAAAAAATGTTACAGTTATGCTCGATCTCCCCCAGCTCTGTGTGGTGTGATGGACTGACAACCTGTCCAGGGTGTACTCCGGCTCCCGGCAACCCTACAGGAAGACGTGGTTGCTGAAAATGAATAAATGAGGAGTTTCATGAACAAGTGTAGAAAATGACAATAAAAACTAGTGACACGCTTTGTGTTTTGATTCTAGCATTTTATAAATGACACTGGTCATTACTCTCGAAGATCCAGCTGGCCTCTGTCTGCTAGAAATGAACACAATTTACATAAAAGGCCGAAGCAGGTGGTCAAACTGTGTGAGCTCAACGGTGCGATGCAAAAACTCTCCTGCACTGTAAACAATCACAGGTGGCTGCAAACAAGACGAAGAGTTTCTCTGTCTCCACATCAAACAGCTGGAGTCAGGGAGTTCAGGACGAGGATCATCAATGAATCCTTTTAAATAGCCCAACACTGCTTTTTGTGTCATTTTTGTTACATTCTATTGGCATTGGAATTTTTCTGCTAATAAATGGACCTAGATTTCAGAACACTCGCATTGTTTATGCTACTGATGATCAAAAGTTATCATGAAGAAATATTCATGTTGTTTAAACCAAAATGATGAAAAAAAACAAGTAAAATTTCTTCATCTCTTAAAAAAATAAGATTTTACATTAAAAGTATGTTTATGTGCAGCAACTGGCACAACACCACTGTGGAACATGTTTCGCTTTAAAAAATCGATGAAAATAAATTCCAGTGGCATGTGAACTGGGGACAGAACAAAGAAATCTGAGAAAAGGGAGGTCAAATTCAAGCTGCTGTGTTTTTTGTTTGGAAACTTGCATAAAAACTATCAATGAAAGCTGTTTAAAATGCTCTATTAGTTTCTATCAAATACAAATACAATATATGTTGTTGTATTTTGTTAAAGTTCACCATAACAAAACGAAATCAACAAATTATTAATTAGAAAAACAAAGAAGTGACAAATTTGTGTGCAATTTGTTAGTTTAGTTATTTTCTTGTAAAGTTTATCTTTAAGTTAACTGTTTGTGCAAAACACAATTGTTGTTATTCTTCTTGTAGCATCATTCTAAATTAACCCGAGGCTCCTACAGAAGCAGGAGATTTAGCAGGTGCTGCACCAGTGACCATGCTTCACATGAACACCACCTGCTTTCTAAAATATTTTGTCCAAAAAGCAAACAAATAAAAAACTCTAGAATCCATTAATTAAAAAAAGTTATAAAAGTGGAAATCCACAACTTTCTCAAAGGCTAATCTTTTAAATAGCAAATGACCTTTATGCATAATAATAATAATCACCACGGTGGCATGCTGGGAAAATAACTAATAATAAAGAAAAAGTCGTGCAACTGAAAAAAATGACAACACAATGGCTCCTTTTGCTCTTAAATAAAAGTGTGAAATATCCATTATGATATTTTTGTAGGATTGACTCAGACCTTGGTGTTTAAAACCAAAATAAAATATTCAATGGTGTGTTTTTGCCTCCCAAAGTTGAAATATCAATATGCTTATTTCCAGACGGAGGCGCGGCCAGGAGAAACGATGAGCTGTGATCCGCCCTCTGCAGCAGCTGGCTGCAGCAGCACCAGGATGCAGCAGGAGAGAAGAAAGAATAGTTGCTAATAACTTTCAAACTGGGAGTGTTTTACCGTCATGCGCTGGAAAAGTGAAGTGAAGGTAGAGTGCTGCTTCAACGGCAGAGAGAGCGGATCTCTGCTGTCCAACGATGAGGTGAGTAAACGCTGCAGCCTCGCGCTCAGCGCGGAGGAAAAATCAGTCTAAAATGCTTTTTTTTTTTTTTTTTTTTTTTGCCAATTAAATGAGAGTGGGCTTTTGGTGTGTCATTAAACCGGCCTTCCTCGGGCTGGCAGCTTTAGTATTTTCACAATTTGAAGAAATGTCAAAGAAAATTACCCCTCCCTGAATTCTGCAATTAAAACTCAAGTAGTTAATGAGACCTCTTCACCTTTCGGTTGCCCCGGGAAGCTTGTGGCGAACTTAGTCTTTTTTAATTGCTGTTATTAAATAAATCACCGCCTCCCCTCACACACTTTTTTCATACCTCGCGCTGGTTTCTTGATTGACGCGTGAAATTGTTGTGTTGGTTGGTTTAACCATGCACGGCACGCGCGGCTCGGGAGCGAATCATGAAATTCACAGCTCGAGGATCATAATGCACGCGCGCGTCGAGTGCATGCTCGAGTGTTGTCTGTTTTTGTAAGTAATGGCGATCCTTCTCTTCTAAATGTCATTGTGGTTTAATCGCCGCCGGCGTTGTCATGGTGAAAAGTGAAAGGCATGATATTTATGGGAAGGAGCGGGGGGCTTTTAAGGCAGCTGCCGCGGTTTGACGCGCGCCGACAACCTCCGCGCGCCGTTTAGCGTCTCGTCATGTGTGAGGATTGCAAGGGAGACGCAGAGCTGCTGGGTAAATGCTCTGAGGACAGGAGAGACATCATGGTAGGATGGTTTATCCTCCAACACAACTTTGACTTATTAGACTAAAATGTTAAACTGAAAACCATGTTTGATCATTTCATTCCTTGAATTTGACTTTAAAAAACTTTTGTAAAATAAAATTCACTTTTTTTAAACTCAAAATAACAAAATAAATTTTCTAAAAAAGACAAACAGTTTCTGCAGACTGCGCTGCAGCCGGTTGGAGACGTCTGTGCGTAACTGTCTGGTTTCCTTCATCAGGGCGCGCCGGTGGAAGTTTTGGATGAAGACACTTCATCCCCGCGGGCGATGCCATCCGCGCCGCTTCTGGGCAGGAGCGTGTGCGCCAATTGCAACGAGGAAATAGTGGATAAATACTTATTAAAGGTAAACGCATTACTTAGAGAGTTGTGTTGCATTTTAAGGAGCATTTTTGTTTTTCTTCCCTCTGGCGCTTGCATTGGACTACAGTGGAATTTTGGTATTTGTACATCTTCACCAGACCTTCCTTCAGACTCCCTGTCTTCTGCTAATTCATCGTATCTCTGCTGTAGGTTAACGACTTGTGCTGGCATGTGCGCTGTCTCTCGTGCAGCGTGTGCCAGACTTCGCTTGGCAGCCACGCGAGCTGCTACATCAAAGAGAAAGAGGTGTTCTGCAAACTGGATTATTTTCGGTACGTGCGTCAAACCAAAATTCAGATTATATAGATTATAGAAATTAGTGCAGATACCAAACCGGAGTTTTCGGTTTGGAAATATAGTGGTTCATCCGAAATCAGATTTACAAAAAAAAAAAAAAAAAAAAAAAAAAAAAAGGATCTCCAATACAAGTCAAAGCAATAACAGATTCACATTTTTGTGCTTCTCATTTAGAAATTATGTATTCATTTAAAAGCATCAACGCTGTTTTTGGTCTGTCAACGAAATCAACGAGTTTTAATCCAACATTGTTATTTTAAAATCAAATTTGGAAGAAATATTTATTTTAAAATGTTTTAACAACAGAATAAATGAAAAAAATCACCACTCTTCTCTCCCTGCAGAAGATACGGCACCTGGTGTGCGTGCTGCGGCAGGAACATCCACGCCACAGACTGGGTCCGCCGGGCCAAAGGGAACGTTTATCACCTGGCCTGCTTCGCCTGCTTCTCCTGCAAGAGGCAGCTTTCCACCGGGGAGGAGTTCGCTCTGGTGGAAGGGAAGGTGCTCTGCAGGATTCATTATGACTGCATGCTGGACAACCTCAAGCGGGCCGTGGAGAAAGGTGAGGCGGCTGCGCGCACAGACACAGTTAATATCCATCCATGAGCTGCATGGTGCCCATCTCCAGCAGCCAACGGGCAATTAGGCGGGGTACAGTTAATATGGAAATCTTTATTTATTTTTATTTTTTACAATGTCATATTTAGTGGTCACAAATTAGGTGTTCCTTGTTGAAATTTACTTCAATTAATACGAGTTTTTGCTGCAGGGAACAATGTGAACATGGAGGGCGCCGTGCCCACTGAACAGGAAATTAATCAACCAAAACCCTCAAAGAGAGCCCGAACCAGCTTCACGGCCGATCAGCTGCAGGTTGGTAAAAATTATAATATTCCACATTTTCTGTTTCCACAAACCAGACGTAAATATTAATGTGAATATGGAAATGTTGATACAATAGGCCCAAAAGCAGATCCAAAGCAAATTAAGGAATCTATTTTCTTTAAAAAATGAAAGAAAGAGATGAAAAAGATTAACTTCAAACGTTAAAAATAATTTTATTTATTTTAATTTATTGTATCCAGGTCGATGGGACCTTGACCAGCTGGAGACTTGAACTTTTGTTAATTTATTTTGAAAATCAAAACCTCTAATTAAAACACTAGAAACGCTTTGATTTATTTTTATTCTGATACAAAGACTCTAAATACACATTTCAGTTTATAATGTGAAATAATGTATTAAAAATAATCCGGTAGTGTAAGCAAAAAACACCCTGATTGAAAAAGGTGTTAAATTGATATGAAAAAAAAGCATTGAAAGTAATGTGCTTAAATGTCAAATAAAGTCATGTTTATTTCTTATGTGCAGTAATTATAGACTACATTATTATGTCCAATAGAGAGTTGTCAGTGAAAATGTTTTTTTTTACCTTAAGCAATTTTTATTGTAAATATTTAACACATTTCCCAGTATGACATATTTAATCATTATTAATCAGAACGTTTTGTATTATTTTCCACACACACACGCACACACACACACACACACACACACACACACACACACACACGCACACACACACACACACACACACACACACACACACATACACACACACACACACACACACACACACACACACACACACACACACACACGGCTGTAGAGGACCTCCTGTGTGATGCTGATTTTGCTCTACCTGTTTACATGCAGGTGATGCAGGCTCAGTTCGCTCAGGACAACAACCCTGATGCTCAAACACTGCAGAAGCTGGCAGAGCAGACCGGCCTCAGTCGAAGGGTCATACAGGTAAGTTCAGTCACTGCACAGAGACTAAACAGACGATGGAGCATCTGTAACAGCAAAAGTCTCCACGTTGCTTTAAGCTTTAGTAAGAAGTGCTCTGTCCGGTTAATGACGCAGGTCTGGTTCCAGAACTGTCGAGCTCGCCACAAAAAGCACGTGAGCCCCAACCACACCTCCAGCACCTCGATGACCACCCTGCAGCCCAGCCGCCTGTCCCAGCCCACCCCGACCCCAGAGGAGCTGCAGTACACAGCCTACGGAGGCCCAGAGGGTTCAATGCTCTCAGCGCTACACTCCTTCATAGACAGTGAGAACAAGATTATTTTTTCATGATTTATCACGTTGTTCACCACTCTGCCACAGTTTATCCCACACCTATTTCTAAGGCATCCAAGTATGTGACTCTCTTTGGATGATTGGATTCCCTGAAGTAAAATAATCAGTAGACACGCAGAGCAAGTCTGTGTAAGCTGATGCCTTATTCAGCATGTCTGAACATGTTCATCTTGACATATATTGAAATTGAATGCAAATTCTTCTGGCCATAATCAACATTTTCTACAAACTGTGAAATGATTGTGTAAAAATGGCTGATCAAATCCCATTAACCTCGGCCGTGACTCAAAGTTATCTGCAAATATTGAGATTAATTATAAGATCATGTTTGTCCTTCTAAAATTATGTTTAAATGAAAAGAACAAATGTCTCCTTCAGAGATGTCCTGTTAAAGACTGACTTTGTTTTGTGTGTGTGTGTGTGTGTGTGTGTGTGTGTGTGTGTGTGTGTGTGTGTGTGTGTGTGTGTGTGTGTGTGTGTGTCTGCAGTACACTCTCCTCCTTCCATGTTTCAGCCGTTGGTGCCAGCCCACGCTATGGCCTCCCTTCCTGTGTCTCACGCCTAAGCTGCTGTCTTTCTTTATCATATCACACACACACACACACACACACACACACACACACACACACACACACACACACACACACACACACACACACACACACACACACACACACACACACACACACACACACACACACACACAGCATTGTTCAGCTCTCCACAATAAAAATAATTTCATGCTCTGTAAATCAAAACAATTTCCTTTTGTAAACATCATCTATGATTTAGGCTGATTTTTGAGGACTGTGATTTGTATGTAAAGGTTTCAGTGTACCTTGCTGACATGTGACTCATAATTGTGCACGTTGTGACACTGTGCTACACTTAAGTGAAAACCAACAGCAAAAAAAAAAAAAAAAAAAAACTCCATATGAAGGTGATTTTGTTTGTATAAATGGTGCAATTTATTTATTGTATGTAAAATCTGTTTCAAGAATAAAAATCTAATTTCACAAACCTTGGGAGTGGATGCACGCATGAGAAAACTATTATTTTAATCTGTGTGTTTAGTGTGCCTTTTTATGAAAAAGTGATGACTGAATTGAAATGTGCATCATAGAGACAGTTTATAGTTCATCAGATCCTATTTTTGTGCAAAGCGTTTACACAAAACTATATTATAGACATTCATCCATTGGATTTATGATAAAAGTATTCAGTGTGGGGGTCAGAGTGTTAGGAAAGTTGTCTTACAGGAGGGAAGCTAAGCTTGTGTCTACTTGTTTGTGGTTGACCAAAAGAATCTTATTTCCAGACACGGGAGAGAGCCGAGGGCATATAAAAACACAGATTCATCACGCTTATCAGATTTAAGGTATTTATTCATCCTTCTGATAAAGCAAAAATATAGACAATTCTGCTGGCAGTGCAAAAAGTTGTTCCGCAAAACAAAGATGACAGCATGAAACATAACATGCCCTGCTGAACACCGCATGCATCGTTTGTAGTTCTTTCTCACACACAAGCAGAGTTGTTTTGCATTGCACTTTACAGTTGCGTGTTCTGGCGTGTTCTGCTCAAACGTTTGTATGTGTGTGTGTCTTAGAGGGAGAGAGAGAGAGAGAGAGAGAGAGAGAGAGAGAGAGAGAGAGAGAGAGGAAGTCTGGCAGTGCTGTCACTCTGAGGTACCATGCGGGCAGGATCTCAGGATTGTCAAACATTCTGAAACATGAGTCACAATTCAAACACCTAAAGAGGAGAATCATTCTAAGCGATGCATGAAACCACTAAAAACACAGATGACAGAAAAAAGACAACATTGTGTGGATCCACCAACTGCTAAGGTGTTCGTTCATTTCATTGATCACTAAAAGTTCTCTTACATTGATCTTCCAGTTTCTTTTGTGGATTTTGGCTTTGTGGTAAAAATCAATCAAAGATTTCCTTTTCAAGCCAGAATCTAATACTGTTCCTAAAAGACAAACCAACATAATCGCACCCAATCGCTAAAGACGTTCAGCTGACAAAAGCTTGATGAACACAAGAAAAGGTGGCATAGGAGTCATATATGTGTGGCCCAGATAGTTCAAGAGAATACAAAAACCCACGAAAAAAAAACAAAAACAAAACAATTTAAGGCCACAACACAAATATAAAAGCCACAACAAAAAATTAAATCTACAACACTAATAAAAAAGCCACAACACAAATACAAAAGTTGTGTCTTCTGTATTTGGCCAAACCGTTAGGCCACAATACCCATCTGCAACCAAGAAAACATTCATCAGTATTATCTGCTGAAATAAAACGTTTAAATGAAAATCACATTTAACCATTTAAAGCATGATGAAATTATGAAGTAAAATGTTTTTCTACATGCTCAACTGTTTGATGGCTAATGTTACAGTAATGAAACATTTAAATCAATTACATTCAGTTTATTTATACAGCGCCAAATCAAGACAAAAAATGTCTCAAGGCACTTCACATTCCAATACAGGTCAGTTCATTAAGCCAATCAGTAAAAAGTTTCCTATATGAGGAACCCAGCAAATTGCATTGAGTCTGGTGTCAGTGACTTTACAGCAATCCTCATACTAAGCAAGCATTTAGTGACGGGAGAGGAAATCTCCCTTTTAACAGGAAGAAACCTCCAGAGGATCCTGGCTCAGTATAATTCAATTCAATTCAATTCATTTTTATTTATATAGCGCCAAATCACAACAAGAGTCATCTCAAGGCACTTCACATAACAAACATTCCAATTCAGGTCAGTTCATTAAGCCAAAAATGTTTCCTCTATAAGGAACCCAGCAAATTGCATCACACACACACACACACACACACACACACACACACACACACACACACACACACACACACACACACACACACACACACACACACACACACACACACACACACACACACACACACACACACACACACACACACACACACACACACACACACACACACACACACACACACACACACACACACACACACACACACACACACACACACATCCACTGGTGATGATGAGCTACAGTGTAGCCACAGCTGCCCTAGGGCATACTGGCAGAGACGAGACTGACAAACACCGGTCCCTCTGACCACCACCAACATTGCTCAGATCACATATACCTATTTACCAAGTAGTATTTATATGGCTACATTGTGATTTCTTAATAAATATTCTATTTAGTAAGTGATCAACTTTACTGTCTTTATGTTTGTGAATATTTAATTCAGCAGGTGAACTAGTAGTAGTGCATTCAAAGTCAAAGAAAGAAAAATGTTATTGTCAGGAGAGGGAGAATGCTTAAGTAGTTAGCAGCAGTGTTCAAGCCGATGGACCCCTCCAAGAGGCTACCACAGCTCAGCAGAACATCATTGTAGAAACCCTTAGAGAGAAAATATAAAGCTAACAGCTGAAATAGCAGGAAATAATGCAATTGAGAGAATTGTAGGAGGAAGTAGTAGAGTGTGGAAAGTGGTTAGTACATAGGGACAGTAGACCATGAATTTGTGAAGGGCTAGAAATGAAAATGTTGCCCACTGCTAAGTTCGTCTGAGAAACTGATGACAATAAACATGGAACAGTTCATTTAAAAGATGCTACAGCGCTGTCAGATAGAGATCCACTATAGTGAAATTTACTTTTATGTCTCGAGAACTCAGTCATAATAAAATCAAAAGTTATCAAAAAGTGGTCCAACAGGACTGGATTGTGTGGAAATACTGTTATTTCCTTACACTCTATGCCATAAGTCAGCACAAGGTCTACTGTATGATGGCAGGAGCGGGTGGAGCTATGTATTCTTTGAGTGAAACCAACAGAGTCTAAGAAATTACATTGAGGCTATCATTTTCAATGTCAACATGAATGTTTAAATCCCCCATTGCAATGACTTTATCAGTATTTAGCACCAAATCAGATAAAAAAATAAAATATCAGTGATCTGATCCAAAACTGAGAGTAAGGGCCTGGTGGACGATACAAAACTACAAACGAGAGTGGTTTTAGAGTTTTGCAATCTGGATTAGGAAAACTAAATGTTTATAAGAACTGTAGCTATTAACTGGTAAGGGCTTAATTAATAGACTCGAAGGAAAATTTGTCGCTACTCCTCCTCCTCGCTCTGTACTTTGAGAAATATGATGATTTAAATGATTAGAAGGAGTTGACTCATTTATAGTAACATAGTCCTCTTGCTGCAGCCAGATCCTTTGAGAGCGAGCAAAGAGATCTGATTAATGGAAAGCAGATTGAACTGCCTCTGTGTATGAAATGTGCTCTAGAAATAAAGCTGCCAGGTTTCTACTGCCTTAATCTGGCTGTTTTAAAGAAACAATCCCACTTATACTGGTTGAAAGTGGAATTACAACTGTCGTGAACTGCTGCAGCTTGCTGTAGCTAGCATTAATATGGCCCACCGCTAACACAAGGCAACTGATACTAAAATAAACCACAATGTAAAACGAACCACACTGTTGGACAAAAAATATTATTTACAAGCAAAGTATAGCAACAAAGCCAGGTCATCATCAGTTCAAGATTTTGAAGCCTCCTTTAGCTCCCTAAAATGAGGGTATGCTGTGCTGTTGTTCACTTTGCTTTTAGCTCTTTGCTTTGCTTCCAAAATAATTACTCTCTTAAGAAATGCAAATAGAAAAAATGCTGGAAGTGCTGCAGGGGTGTGAGAAATCTTATCTGGTGCTCTCACTGGTGCTCTTCAGCCAAGGGATCCACATAAATGTTGGCAAAAGGAGATCTGAGGCACTCAGGAGGTACAAAAATAAAAAGCCTTTATTAGTACATGGCTTAAATTGTTAAAAACATCAATGCCAACGCGTTTCAGCCCACAGGGCCTTCATCAGGGCTCAAAATGGTTGTATACTCACTCACCCCCATGTTAAAAAGGCCAATCAATGACACCTGCCAAAGCTGGGCAGGTAGACTGCATTCTGATTGGATGGCCAGTACAACACAAAAACTTTTTACATCTAAACAATCCTATTGTAAGGATGAATACTTACAAATATGAAATTTAACTTCTAGAATTTGAGAAAAAATTATAAATATGGTACACAAATTGTAAGAAAACATGAGATTATAAATAAGGAGCTAAATCTAATTCTCCATTAAGACCTGGGAAATTAGTAGCTTTTAGTGTGTAAATCCAAAAAGATTCTCTTTGCAAGAGTTTTTTAAGCCTATCTCCTCCTCTAATTGAATTTTTTATATGTTCAATCCCTGTGATTTTAAGAGAGTTACAGCTTCCATGATTTGTGTCTTTATAATGCACTGCCATAGGATATAGATGATTACCAGATCTGATTGCTTGTTTGTGCTCTGCAAGTCTTGCTTTTAACTTGCGTTTAGTTCTTCCAATATAGAAGCAACCACACGGGCATTCTAGTCTGTAGACCACGAACGAAGTATTACAGTTGATGAATGTATTAATGTAAAAAGTACGTCCTGTGAAAACATCAGCAAAACAGTTAGTGTTAGTCATGTTGTCACAGTGAACACAATTTCCACATTTATAGTTGCCTTTTCGAGTTGATAACCAGGTTTTTTGTTGCTGTGGAGGAAGGTGACTTTGAACAAGTTGATCATTTAATGTTGGGGCTCGTCTGAAGCTGATAGTAGGAGTATCTGGGAGAGCTTCCCTAAGAACACTG